AACTTTCGTGAGTGTGGCAACGGTTCGGTGGCCCGCCCATCGGTGCCGATCGCCTATTCTTGTTTTTTTCTAGTCGCATAGGAAATCTGTTAACGTTTTTTTTTTTTTTTTTTTTTTGAACTTTTGATCATAAAAAATAACTCCAATAAATATTTTTATGTTATTTTATTTCAAAATAAATTTTAACCATATTTTTTTCTTTCCACCCATCAAAAAAGTTTTTGAGTTGAAATGATATAAAAAAATTTGTTGGAGTTAATTTTTATGATAAAAAATCAATATGATGCTTGAAAGAAAAAAAAGATAAAAATCTACTATAAAATAATACTTTGAATTAGGATTCTATACAAAATTTTTCAAAAAAATAAATTAAAAAAAACAAAAATGGTGTTTATACAAGGTATGAGCCTTATATTATTAAAGTAAGGTGCACCTCAAAATTATGCCGAAAATATAGTTTTGTGCTTGCAAAGCATTGCAATGATAAGAAATATATCATTGCCCCTAATTATGAAATTTAAAGTTTAAGGAACAGCTACGAACAAGAAAATCTCTAAAATCTTGAAAATAGATGATCCAGATAATACGTTCGAAAATAAATTATTTTTACGACTGAAAATTCCTTTTTTTTCATGTAAATGAAACTCGAGGACGAGATGATCAATTTGAGGATTTTTCAACATAGAAACAACCGATTTTTTAAATGTAACTTACTTGCACATTATAAGATTATAACATCTTATATAAACTTTTATCAAAAAATTATAGCAAGCCCTCAATATAGAACCACCTTTGCTCTACTTTTTTTTTTTTCAAACTGGGCCCACTAATCGGGCCAACTGTAACGTTTCATTCAAGAGAGAGAGACGCAACATAAGCAAAACAGAAACGCGTGAAATTGCGTGCGAGAATCTTCCTTCTTTGAATCTTTTAAAAACGATGTCATCATCGTTTAGAATAAGACATTTGATTGGTCACGTCTTTGCAACGTTCTTGCTTTTCTTAGAAAAGGCTGCTGCACTGCGCCTTTCCTTGGAAGGAAATTTAACAAGAAGGGGTAGGGAAAAAGATAGTTTTTTTTTAACCGGTCACTTGAGATTGACCATTGCTTTCATTCGGAAAAGTAAAAAATAAAAATAAAACTCGAGACGACACTTTACCCCAACTTAATTTTTTTCTCACTTTTTTTTCTAAAATGTATTTTTTTATGCAAATATCGCAATTAAAAAATAAATAAAAAAATACCTAAATTACTCTCTCTTAGTTTTATCCTTATCCACTCCTCTCTCTCCTCTATCCCACCAAAATAGGGGTCCTCGGTCGGGCAGTGGATCAAGTACTCTAACACTCTATAAGCGCGATCCGACAGTGGAGCACTCTGGCTTCACAGAGGTCCGACAATGTGTAAGTGCGGTCTGGCAGTACATGTTTAGAGTCACAACGTTATGGTAGTTTCCAATGGAAATCTAACAATAGAACTTTTGAAACATTGGGTTCTGGCAGTTGCAAAGGCCGGTGCGACAGTACTCAGTTTCGGTCCGTCAATGCAATGGTGCACTCTGGCAATGTGGTCCGAAAGTCAACGTCAAATCTGGCCAAATTGAATTTTGTGTATGGGAACGACATTTTCCGTCTAAAAATATAAACTTTTTTCTTTGAGGGTATCTACATAGAAAGTTTGTATTGAGAAAAAAAGTGAGAAAAAGTTACATGGGGGTAAGTTGCACAGAAAGTGTGGTCTTGGGGTTTTGTAATTCTCCCTTGGAAAAAGGTAGGTTTCGGGTTCGGTCGGATTGGTCCGGGTTGACCTAAACCCTAACTGGGATCCTACTTGAGTAGGTTTAGGTTGGATCTATGCCAATACAAAATGGGTCAGCTCCAAGTCAATTGGACGTAGTCCCGACCCACTAGGTCGGCTCAGATCTAGGTCTAAAAGTTAAAAAATAAAAAAATGTTACATATTCTATTGTACATAATTACTTTATATCTTATATATGAGTGCAGTTTGTATAGGTTCTAAAAAGTTAAAGTTGAGTGCACCTTCAAATAGTATCGAGAAATGTGGTTTCAATATTGGAAATATTTGTGATAGCCTTAAAATTTACTTTCATCTCTAATTATAAAATTTAAAGCTTCAAAAATAGTGTAGATCAAGCTGATCTATGAAAACTTGAAAATTGACTGTCCAAAAATGCATTACAAGATGCACTATTTCCAAAACTTGAAGTCTATTTTTTCTCATGTCCATGCATCTTGATGTCGAGATGATCAATTTGAAGATATTTAAGCATCAAACGACTTCTTCTAGTGAAATTCTCAAGATGCATTTTAATTTGATTGTTTAAAACCTCGACTCTATATAAACTTTTTCCTTTATATATACTTTATACATATGAATATTAGGTTGGCTCTGGTTAGGTTGACCCCGACCTTGACCCGATAGGGTCCAAAGTTGGACCCAAATATGGACCAGGTAAGCTCTAGGTCAAGTAGAACCAAAGCCAACTCTTCAGGTCTATTATCCATGTCGACACCACATACGGTTTGGGTCGACTTCCCACACCTAGAAAAAAGGTTATACAAGGCAACAAGGAGTTATTTCTATTAAAAAAAACTTATTTTGAGTTTTTAAATACTGTATCTTGTACTACATTTTTGGACTATCCATTTTTCAAGTTTTTCTATTACTTGTTCTACTTGATCTACAATATTTTTGGTATTTTATATTTCATAATTAAGGGTGGAAACTGACTTTTAGGTCATTTTTGCGGTTTCTTGTTCCAATGCATCTTCAAATTTCAAGGTGGGCCCTACTATAATTATTTGGGTTGACACTGTCTTTCTTCTAGTCAATTAATTTGGTGCTTACCCCTACACCGAGACGAGATTATCAAGAAATCCTCTTCTCTTCCTTCTCAGCTAGGTTAAATGGAAGGGTCTGTTTGTATAAGTTACCGACCTTATATTAAACGGTGTGTTTGTATAAGTTACCCACCTTATATTATACAGTACAAGTAAGGCGTATATTTAAATCTTGCAAGAAGAGATAGTGATGGTGTCCGAAGTTTTACGATGGCTTAAAAATCTATGTTCAATTTTAATTATATAATATAAAGTTTTAAAAATGGAGCAGATCGAATAAATCCATAAACATTTGAAAATCTTGAAAATAGACATTTCATATAACTGCTATAAGATGTATTTACTATGATTTAAAAAAAAAAATTATACTAATACATCTTGAGGTCGAGATGATCAATTAGAAAGTTTCCAACTTCATAAAATTCTTTTCTACTAAATTTTTGAGGTGCACTTTATTTCTATAGTATAAGATTGCAACCTTATATAAATTTTACGAAAAACCTATTTTTCTTCAAAGATCATGCGCTGAACATTCTATAGTGGGATGGTGGGACCAACCTTATAAGTACCTTTTTAAATTCTTTCTATGGTTTAAAATACCCATTCAACTCAAAATCATCCGAGTTAGACTGCAATTGGGAGGTAAGGGATTCTAGCTCAAGAAACCCAGGAATTGCCTAACTTAGTGCTTTTGTATTTTAATTTATTTTATTTATTACATATATGTTGATGAATCTCCCAAGTCGGACTTGGCAGATCCAAATCAATTGCTTGGCAATTTAGATTTATAAATATGTAGGTTTTGCTTTTCTTCTAATTTTTTATCTTAGGATATGCCTCATTAGATTGATCACTAGCTAGCAAACAGATTCAATATGGGGGAGCTTTGTACAAGGCGCAAAGTAAGGCATACCTCTAAATTTTGAATGGAGAACTAGTTTGGGTGTCGAAAACCTCATGATGGCTTGAAAATATGTTCTCATCACTACTTAGAAAATCTAAAATTTTAAAAATGGTCCAAATCGAGTATATCAATAAACAATTGAAAAAAATTAGACGGTCCACATAGCTTGTTACAGGATGCACTACTTTTAGTACTTAAATTATTATTATTTTTTTTCATATCCATATATCTTGAGATTGAGAATATCAATTGAAAAGTTTTCCAATATTAAAAAACTCCCTTCTAGATAATTTTTTATGTGCGCCTTACTTCAATAGTATACACCTTATATAAACTTTTTCTTTCAACAAGATAGTTGTGATCCTACCAAGTGCTCTTTATCGAACATTCATCCGGGACGCTTATTTATATCCATTAACTTAGGTTGAAAAATAGATATATAAGCATCAAACTTTATTTTTCTCATTTTGAGGCACATAAAGAAGCTCCAAACTTTGACCATCACACTAATACTAATAGCCCACGAGTGTAGGGTAAAGATAAATAAAGGATTTAGTGTGACACATGAGTAGATCATGAGCCTAAGGCTATGTTTAATAGCTGTGAAAAGTGGGGAAAATTTTTGA